TGTTTTAAACTGAACAATTCAATCAAAGATAATAACATACTAGAATCATTCTTAAGCAAAATCCTAAAAGCAAAATGGTGCATTCTCTTGATCCCCACTGTAGATAACAATGCTTTCCAATCCTCTCAGTGGTGTTATTCATACCTATTTTTGCAAGAATTTGAAGTTTCTATTAAAAGCTGCATTTTCTTTTAAGTTTGTTTGGGTTGGAAACCCTCAAACCACAATATATTTCATGCACATGTTCCCAAGGGTATGTTAAATAGGACCATACTGAGGTCAACTAGTAAGTTTCAGAAACTTTTAAGAATTCCTTTAATGTACTACACAATCTTGGCCTGATTAAAAGAAGATATCTTAAGAAAGCACTTGGAAAAATGACTGGCTATTAAATCTATATGCAGATAATCTATATTATACTTCTATAATGCATAGAGCTTTCTGCAGATAATTTGTCATTGAGGAAGAAAAACAATAAAATTGCCATTTTAAAGGCTTTCAATCAAAACTTTTCAAAACTATCAGTAAATACAAACCAAAACCCCCAGGGTATTAATACTTGGATTAACAGTGGATGCTTACAAGATCATTTTAACTGTGCAAAGATTTGTAGTTTATGATCAGAAGATAAGAAAGACCACCTTTCACCTATCCAAGCAAAGAAAAAATATATCATCCATTGTTTTGGTAGTCAAAAGCTAAGTATTCTCAGAATAGGAGACTATGGGAAATTGTTAGGTTTGAATACTTTCTACCATCAAGTAAATTTTTGACATCTACCAAATTCAAACCATAGATCAAATGTAAATGGTCCACTTGATAAGTAGAAAAATAAAATTCTTTCCTGTTCTACTGACTTCTCATACTTTTTTTCTTTCACTGGGTCAGACATACCCCTTTTCACTTCATCAAAGTCTCCCTTCATGCGCCATGTTCCAGGCCTTGTACTTCACCCAAAGCAATTTGCAGTTGAGCTAACAGCTGTGCTGGCACGGCGCACACGGAGAGCTGGGCCCAGGCGCCCATTCGCTCCCCAATACATTCCCACATCTTAACAGAAGTGGTCAGTTCTGTGCACCCAAGGCCAAGAAACTCTGTAGCTCATCAGAGAAAAAACAAGGGCGGACACCTTAAACAGAAGTCATACTTACAAAAACTTTTATGAAAAATAAAAGGATATTCAGCATTCAGACACAATGAAGGGTTGACAATTCCTTGATGTGGTGTTTACAAATAATTTTTGTTTTCACAAACACAAAATCTCACTAGAGTGAGGTTTTAAGTTGATTTCCATCCCCACAGTTACACTGGATTTGCCTCTATCACTACACAAAGGTAGGTAAAAGAAAGAGTTTTAAATCAGAATACAACTATAAAGGACATCATCTAACCAGAACACTACCACGCATCGATTGTCTGCCATTCAGCAATCCCTGAGCTGATACCTTGATAATAATTATCTCATTTAACAGTTTCAGCAACATAGAGATAACAGCCTACTTCATCATTTAACAGTTAAAGAAACTAAAACTTAGAAGGTTTGTAAGAGTGTCCACAAATTTTGACCACAGGTGTAAACCATTATTTATGCTTAAGTCTCTTGAGATGGCCAAAGTTTTCCAAACAACCCTAAAGGTAGAGTTTATCAACCCTACTCAAGCGACACAGGAGTCACCTGATCATTTGGAAAGCCTACATATCCCAGAACTAACCAACTCATTAATTTGCTGATTCATGCATCAACACATATTTATTGTTTACTTGGTATTTAAGTCAATTTTGAATTTAATTTTAAAAACACAGAGATGACTCAATTTATACTAAATCTCCAGCATCTTATACATAGTGTAATAAAAAGTGTATTTAATAAATGAATGACCTTTCTAAGTAGTCATGTTAAATATCACCCTAAGGGCTTTCATAACAATGCATTTTGCAAACTTTTTTTAAAAACTCATTTTTCTCACGTATTACTTTTCTTTCAAATGCAATTTTTAATTTTTTTTTTTCTTTTTAGAGAGAGACTTTTGCTATAGGGCATGTGCAGTCACCAGGGAGACAGAGAGACAGAAGCAGAAATTGCTCCCCCAGGATAATGGCCATGCTACAATCCCTTCTCTTCCAGGGATTTGGGGCATGCACACACACCTGGCGTGAGTTTTAAGCTGCCAGTCCAGGACTCAAACCATGGTCAACTACATGGAAGTCCAACAAAGTAACCACCACACCATCTGCTGATCCCACAAAATTTTATGGACTTCTTTCTAAAAAAGACAAACACTTCCAGGCAAAAGGGAAAGATGATGCCTGCCTCTGTGTAAGTCAGTTTCATAATTCCCACAGTCATCTTTGCTATCTTTTTTTTAATAACCAGAGGGTATGTGCTCTTGCCAGAAAGAGAAAGCACCCTACCCAATGGAGAGTGGTCACACCAATATCTCTTCTCCTCCATTTCCTCTTCCTATTGGGATTTGGGGCAGACAAGCACACATGCCAGGCATGATTCTCAAGCCACCCGGGCTGGAACAGGGACCTGAACCACTGTCAGCGATAAGGGACCCAGCTCTCTTAACCACTAGGCTATAGAACTGGCCTGATCTTGGCTCATTTTAAAAATGTAATAATGGTGGTGAACTCCTCCCAGAGGTCCACAAGCTTCTCTTTTACCCTTTTGCCTGCACCAGCCACAGCCCAGGAAGGAGGGGGGTGGCCACAGGGAGCAGCCATAGGGGCCAGAACTGCAGGACCGGGAACCCAGGGCTTTTCTGAATGTGGGTCATTCCTGGCACAAGTGTCTGTCCCAAGACCCGCCAGACGTATGAGCGCAAACCTCGCAGGGACACCCGAGCTGTTCCACTGTGGTCCTAGGTCCCACGTCTCTCCGGCTCAGCAAGACGAAGTCATGTAGAATTGTCTACCAATTGAAGGAAATGATGTTGGAGATGATGGGAGAATCAATCTGCTAGTGCAGAGTTTCATTAAATGGATCCCAAGAAGAGGGATATAGCCAGTGTCAATGTGTGTTGAGCACACACTCTTAATGTGAATTTTCAATGGGCAAAACTTTGGTGGGGCATGATATGGATCTCAAAAAAATGCAAAAAGCAAACTCTTCAAGCAAAATGAATACAAAAGTCACCAAGGATATGATGCTTTAGCAAAGTGATCCAACATCATCTAGACAGGCATGAGACATTGAAGGGGCTAGGAGCTCTGGGAAAAGAATTAGAGCACCTCTCACTTGTTAAAGACAGTGTTGAGATACAAACGGCTCCAGGTTCTTCTTAGTGCCATCTGTGAACTTCAGCAAACACTGGGAAATGATGGAAAGCTCTCAGAAGTAGAAGGAGCTCAAGAAACAAGCATGGAAGTAGATCCTAAGCCCGTAGTCAGGCTAATTGCTCACCATTTCCCAAAATATTGACATTGTTACATGGTCTTAGTGCGTTTAGAATGGGTTGTGTTCTTAAGATAAATAAAGCTATAGCAGTAAAATTCTGTTTTGAAACATTAATGAACATTTTAGTCATATTTCCTCACACAAAGGAAAATAACTTCAGTATAAATTTATTTCTACTGAAAAAGAAAAACCTCCCCTCCTAAATATTCATGACAAGACCCCAAGATAAAATACCCAACCCATACCCACTGCAGCTTTCCTTCTCTGGCAGCTGCCCACCCATATGCATTTCTAATGTGGAATATATTTCTTTTCTGTTAAAAATCTATTTTTTATTTTTCTATTCAAACTTTTCTTTTCCTACTTTACACATGCTCATGGTTTTTCATGTGTGTTAGGACAGGTCTCTAACCTCAGAGACCTAGACCCAAAGAACTGGCTATTTCACACAACGCAACTCAGCTCCCTGCACGATAATATCACTTCATCACAAGGAATCACCAAGCACTGGTCCACAATGCCATGGGGTCCCTTTCATATGACCTCACATACAACACATCAATCATGTGGGCCCCCTTGCCTCAAATACCAATTAACCATTGTTTTATATATCTGTAGTCTTGGTAGAAAAACAGCAAAAAGAAGCAGAATTCATTCACCATTTTTCTCCATTAAACATTGTAACCACTGAATTAAGTACATTTCGACTTCTTTTTAAACAAATGTTCATATAAGATAAAAGTACCAATGTTAGAGAGAGAGCCCAGTTTTCCAATAAAGCTCTCCTCCCTCCAAATGGTGTATCCATTTTCAGTAACTCATTTCGAAGAAAAACTTACCACTATATAAATATGAAGAACCCAAGGAAAACACACATAATTTTGAAACGTTAGGCAAGATATATGAATAAACCTTCACAGAAAAAATGGAATTCCTCTCCCTTTGGGGTTAATGGGTGGTTCTGAAGCATGGAAAGTGACTTGTTATATTGACTAAATAAAACCAAAACGTATGTTTTTGACATCTAAGAGTAATCACTTGAAGAATTTTGTAGAAGACATATTTTCTTAGATGATCCTTCTTCCTGGGCCCCAAAAGCACCGATTTCTACTCTAGTTTAATTAATGCCTCATCAATGACACCCGTTAATCACAGCATATAAAAACCTCTTATTTGCAGAATTAAATATGCCTTGATTTATACATTTTAAGATAACCATATAGTCAGAAGTGAGCTGTAACTGTGAAAGTCTCATATTTCCTTTTACAAAAAAATAATCTGAGTGCCCAGCTACAACCTCTGAATCGTATGAGTTTCTGTTCTTCAGGAAAAATAAATTTTTTCTGACCTCAGAAACTTTGTGTAGTGGCTGATTAAGAAATACGTCAGATCTGGCAGGCACAAAGTATGATTACAAAATAAAGATCAAAAGTCTCATTAGAATTTAGCATTTCAGACCTCTAACAGTGCAAAATCACGTTCCTGACTTAAGCTGCAGATCAGTGGCTGGCATGCCTGTGTACAAATCAGTATAAACAGAAAAGGGAGGCAAATTGATGTGGTGTTAAACACAGTGCATTGAAAACTTCAGAAAACAAACCTGAGGGTCTGCAAATACATTCTTCATGCTGTTGATTGGGCCATAAGGGACTCCACTGCCTTCAAAGAGATGTAACCAGGTGCTGGTAATTTCTTCTTCAAACCTAGAAACAGACAAACAAGGATGCATCTTCTTACACTCTAAAGAATGTAACACAACCTCTTTTCTTATGTGATCCTCTTTCAAAACAACCAATAGTGACAAAAAAGACATTTCTTAGATTCCTTCACTCCTAGTTCTGAGAGTAGGTAGTCTCCATGAAACGAGTGGCCCCATGAAATGAGTAGTTTTAAAATCCACCGTTAGAGATGTAATTTCTACTGTTTCTGCCTTTATGTACTCTTTGACAGAAAGCCTCTTGCAAAAAGAGATGAAAAGTGGTATTAACAGAATTCCAAATGTGGTATTGAACAATTTCTAATGTAATAATAATATAATTGCAGTTTGAGCAATGCATTCATCTTATTTAACAGTATTTAGGTCTCAGTATATAGTATGTTAGGTTAGAGTAGACACTCTTGTACTAACTTATTTCTCAAAACTAAATAAATAAATAAACAAACAAACTAATGGAGCTGCTTTAAAAGAAAGCTACGTGCCAAGTACATAAGAACATAGCAAACTACACAACTATTGGCCTATAAACAATTTTAGCTATACTTACTCATTTTTGCTGTGATTTATGAATTAGAACTCTAGACATACAGAGACTGATATTTCAGTTTAGCCAACAAAAACTCAAAATAATCCAGTTCTTTACTCTCTGTTTTGTTTCTAGTATAATTTGAGATTAGACTTCACGAACAGAAAAGCATATGTGATTTCTTTTCTTTATTCTCTATTAGGTCTTAAAGAAAGGGAAGCTAATTTTATAACGAGATGTAGTGTTTTCTACCTTGTTAAGGCAGTGAGTACAGAAACAAAATCTTGACTCCTTAGAGACAGTACAGTCATAGTTTCTAACTATGAAGAATTGTAGAATTATTCATTGTTGAAACAGCTAACTATTTTTAGTTAATTAATAATCTAGGTTACCAAAAAGATCTAAAAACATTAGCTAAAATAGGTTATTGTCATCCAATAAAATGCTTCACATATTAGTGGAAGAACTAGTGTAATTATAGTAGAGCTATTAAATATTCATGGGCTTCAGATCTGTAGATTCCATAGATTCTAATTATATTAGAAAAATAAACTTTTTTACCATTTTCCAAACAAGTAAAAAGTATAAAAACAGTATTAATATTTGGAGAATACTTCTCTGATCATACTTAATAAATAAAAGTAAAGAGAAAAAAAATAAAATGGAACTAATATAGCTTCTAAAACATAGGCTGCAGTATGAAGAATGTACAATCATAGAAAGTTATACACAGGATATAATCTTTTAAAATGAAGGTAGCATTACATTTCACTAAGAACCTGATCCTACTTACATTTACACGGAGTGAGTGACTGCTATACGCCAAGCATTGATTCCTGCCTTTCAATATAATTCCTTCCATTTTCTTTTTAATATGATAGATAAAAATGTTTCAATATACATCTTAATTTCAGGACAGTAATGTTAACTATTTAGCACACAACAACTCACTTCTAAATATGCAAAAAAAAAAAAAAATTCTTTCATGGGAACACCACAATGCAAAGTTAAATATCTTGCTTCTAATCGATTCTTCACATTCATATTTTCTTTTCAATGACTGTTAAAGTCATCTCCTGGCCAAGACTTCCTAAAATATATGTAGATATATATTTCATCAGGATGATATATGCTGAAAGAATAAAAGAGATAGTTTGAACCTGGAGCCTTTTCAGTCAGAGTGTCAATTATTTAAGTTTTCATAAGCAGAGTGTTGTAATGGTTAGTCTGATGAATTTTCAAGACAAGTGAATTTATCACCTTGGGACTCACCCAAGTGGCCTGAAAGATCTGCACAGAAAACGCATATCAGTATCCAAACAAACCCGTGGCTACAAGCTAGCCAACACAAAACTCTCTGGGGAATAGTTGAAGTTTTAGTTTATGTAAGCTTTTCACCACTGGGCAAAAGAGAGGGATTTATTTCATGTTATGGAAAACAACGGATGCTCTTTGGAAATAAGACTAGGGGAAGAGGCAGTGTCTGAAGCTGCAGTTGTGACCACTGTTTGTGTCTTTGTGTGGGTGTGGGTGTGGAAGGGTTCCTAAATGCCATAAACTCAATCAGTCAGAGACGGAACATCACTGCATTCCACGGCTCCCAGAGGACACATCCATCATTTTCTTCCAAAAATCTATCTCTTGATCTAAATCTGATGTGGAATCCTTTCCTTTATCTATGCAAAAAAAAAAAGCTTTAAGTGAATGTTTTTATTAACCACAAAAATTCTGCTAAAAAAAAAGGTGGAAAGAGCTAGCTGATCTGAATCCCTCAGGGCAACAGAATCATGAAGATAATACAAAAACGGGTGTCTTTAGATGCAGCTTAGCAAGACTTGAAGCTCATGGGAGTCATCTAGAGACTCATAAACAATTCAGACTTAACTGTGAACTTACTATATCGAGCCATATGTCTAATTCTAGATTTTTGTTGAATTCCCTCAAGGCAAGGAGTACATTATTAATAAGAAAAGATCATTTAGGTAGATGAGGCACTGAATTTAAAAAAAAAAAAAAGAGTTTAAATTTCTTAACATCGAGAAGTAATTTTAAAAACAAAAAATTATTCTCTTTATTGAATGGATTAAAGTCTCAAAGGAACCAAATCCAAGACCAAAGAGATACTAAGAGATCAGGGTCAGGAAGGTGGGACTCAGAGGTAGTTGTTACCCTGGTGATAACTAAATTAAATTGTTCTGTCTGCATTTTGTCAATTTTATCTTCACAACCACACTATAAGTATTAACATTATTTTATCAATAAGAAACTCAGGTTTGTAGGAATTAATTTGCTCAAATTTGAATAGCTTTCAAGCTCAGAGGTCACATTTGAAGTTGAGACGGTTTAACTCCAAAGCCACTTTCTGAGTACATAATGATTACAGCAGAATACATTCAGAAAACATAGGTTTACATATTGTTTGCATTATATATGGTCAGATAACTACAAAAACGCAGAGCAGAGGTGAAACTATTTTCTTAACATCGAGAAGTAATTTTAAAAACAAAAAATTATTCTCTTTATTGAATGGATTAAAGTCTCAAAGGAACCAAATCCAAGACCAAAGAGATACTAAGAGATCAGGGTCAGGAAGGTGGGACTCAGAGGTAGTTGTTACCCTGGTGATAACTAAATTAAATTGTTCTGTCTGCATTTTGTCAATTTTATCTTCACAACCACACTATAAGTATTAACATTATTTTATCAATAAGAAACTCAGGTTTGTAGGAATTAATTTGCTCAAATTTGAATAGCTTTCAAGCTCAGAGGTCACATTTGAAGTTGAGACGGTTTAACTCCAAAGCCACTTTCTGAGTACATAATGATTACAGCAGAATACATTCAGAAAACATAGGTTTACATATTGTTTGCATTATATATGGTCAGATAACTACAAAAACGCAGAGCAGAGGTGAAACTATTCGTCTTTTCCACTAATATCCTTCCTCACTTCCATCTGAAATACTTCAATATATATTTCCTTGCATGATACTTATTCGTTCCTGATGCTTTTAGCAAGAGTTTGTTTTGAGTCAGCCATGGAGATTCCATCAATAAAAAAGACAATCTGTTGTGTGCGGATATCATGTGGTCTAATGGAGATCACAGCTATGGAAATGGATGAACAACAGTGTGAGATGCTGAAGCACAGCCTTGAATGAACAACTCAGAGTTGAAGTTCCAAAGGAGACTCTTGCTAGGCCTGGGGAAGTGAGGCAAGACGGGACTCCAAAGTGAGATGACATTTGAGCCAAGTGTTAAAGGTTGCATTAGTGAAAGATAGTGCAAAGGAGCTTCCAGGCAGAAAGAGCACTGTATAAAAGACTCAACCTGGAAGGAATCGGAAATCTCTTGTGCCCTGAGTGGCAGAAGATGAAATGGAACACAGAGGTTAGAAGCAGAGTACAAAGCATTTTGTCTGCTATGCTAATGATACTGGATTTCTGCTGGCAACAACAAAAAAAAAAAAACAGAAATCTTTAAACAGGGGACTGACATATTCCAGGAAATTAGAATGCAAAGAATGAACCAATGTAGGTGAGACTAGAGGTAAAGAAACTTGACAGAAGGCAACATGTTCTATCCTTCTGATGAATTTCAAATCTGCTTATCAGTAACTTCCACATTATGGTCAAAACTAAAAATTCCCCTGAGGGAACCAACAGGTGGCACAGTGGTTAAGGCCCTGAACGCCCACATGGCCTTAAGCAGTTCAAGTCTCAGACCTCTCAGCTTGAAAATCACATCAGACACAGGAATGGCAGTTGGCGTAATGGCTATGTCGCTGGACTCCCATGTAGTCGACCGCAGTTTGAGTCCCGGACCGGTGGCTTAAACTCATGCTGGGCACATGTGCATGCATGCCCAAGATCCTGAGAGGAGAAGGGATTGTGGCATGACCATCTCCCTTGCAGGGTGATTTTTCGCTTTCTATCTCTCTGTCTCTGTCTTTCTGGCAAGTGCATGTGCCCTATAGCAAAAACTTCACAAAAAAAAAAAAAAAGGAAGAAAGAAGGAAGGAAGGAAAGAAGGAAGGAAGGAAGAAGGAAAGAAAGAAAATCACATCAGGCACATATATGTGCATGGAGAATGGGGGAGAAGGGATTGGAGCATGGCCACCACATTTCATTAGTTATTCCCTTATGTATGTTTCCAGTCTTTTCATAGTCCTCATCCCACCTCTCTGTGCCATAGTTGACGCTATTGACTATTTGACCTTCAAGTCCTCTGACATTCCACTTTCTTGGTTTTCTCTTTGGCCCTTGCCATTAATTAGTTCTTTTGCCAGTTTCAATAGTTTTGTTCTCTTTTACTTACCTAAGTAATCTTGTCATCTCTGTGCAGATGATACGGAAATCCATATTTCAGCTCTGAAAATTTCTTCTCCAGTTTCTAACTTCCCTTTTTCTAGTTACCATAGGATAATTCTACTCAGATGAGCTGTCATCTCCAAAGTGCAA